CGCCCGAGCCCGAGCCCGCGCCGAGCGTGCGCCTCGCCCTCCTCCCGCGCCCGCTCTGCTCTAGGATGCTGCGGCAGGTTCTGCACAGGGGCTTGAGGACGTGTTTCTCTCGGCTCGGCCACTTCATTGCCAGTCACCCAGTCTTCTTCGCCTCGGCGCCGGTGCTCATCTCCATCCTGCTCGGCGCCAGCTTCAGCCGCTACCAGGTCGAGGAGAGCGTGGAGCACCTGCTGGCGCCCCAGCACAGCCTCGCCAAGATCGAGCGCAACCTCGTCAACAGCCTCTTCCCGGTCAACCGCTCCAAGCACCGGCTCTACTCGGACCTGCAGACCCCCGGGCGTTACGGCCGGGTCATCGTCACCTCCTTCCAGAAAGCCAACATGCTGGACCAGCATCACACCGACCTGATCTTAAAGGTGAGACGGGGGGCGGGCGCGGGCAGCCTCTGCCGACGCGGCTGGCGCGGCTGGCGCGGCTGGGCTGGCTTTGCGCGGGGGTCCGGGCTGAGAGCGCCGCCTCTCCCATCCCAGGCGTCTGCCGCAGGGGCTCCCCTGCACCGCGCGCCCCTCGGAGGCCGCCAGGAGCCTCCCAGCCTCCTGGGCGGGGAGCGTCCGGGTCCGGGCCCGGCCCTGCCCTCGCCGCCGTCGCCGCTACCCGGGTAGCTGCTGCAACAGTTGGGGCGGCGGCAGCCACATTGCTGTGGTCTGTGCGATTGTTTTGGTTGCAGTGGTCTTGGGGGCGAGGAGGCTTTGGGGTAACTGGGACAGGATGGAGCAGAACAAGAGAAGACCTTATAGAAAGTCTTGCTACTTGAAAACAAAATACTATGCTTGGGGGGATTCAGAGACCCCTCTCTCCTGTCCCCATTTTTGCTCCCTTCCTCTGGCCCTGGAGTGTTTTGAGAAAGGCTGCTTAGATGGGCTGTGACGGGGCAGAAGAATGTGAGGCGGGATGGTGAAGAAAATGCCTCCCACCTACCCAGAAAGAACTGTGGTCCCAGCACGAGGACAGGGGCTGCCCTGCTGCCCTCTTCCCCGGAGCGAGGTAGCCATCTCTGTCTTCTAGGGTAGGAAATGATGTTTGTGATTCGCAGTTATTTCATTTTTCACAGTAGCTCATCTCTTCTGAAATGCAAAAACTTCTTTGAGAAAAGAGGGATTCGACTGATCCACTTTTATTTGGGTGCATTTGGGCATGAGGGTGAGGGGCAGAGCCAGCAGAGTGAGGACAGGAGCCAGGCTGTGTGGCCCTGAGAAGAGCACAGGAAACCAAGCAGCTGGTTAGAGGGTGACACTCTCAGAAGCAGTAACAGGTTGTGCTATCAGCCGGAGGTGGGAATTTGATGTGAAAAGTGAGGTTAATGGTGATAACTTTCAGGAAGTTCCTAAGAAAAGCAAAGGAGTGAGGACTAGAGATGGAAAAGTGGAGATCTTGGGGGAGAAAAGCAAAAATCGGTGACAATGTTCCATTCAAGTCCCTGGTGAGGAATATGGGGCTTGTTTACTTAAGGTTCTCCTCTGGGGAGGGCAGACAGGAGCCAGTCCCAACTGGAGGCGGAGGGCTGGAAGGTGCTGGTTTTGTGTGGTTCTCCAGTCCAGATCTGGGATTAGAGGCCAGTTAGATTTCTAGTCTACTTATCCCAAAGGGAAGCAGCCAGTGAACCTAGGGAACTCTTCCTTTTTTTTTTTTTTTTTTCCTCTACAGGTAAACCTTTATCCCTAGAGACAAGCTAATTTTCCTATATTATTTCCCTCCCTCTATTTGTTGACATGTTATCAGTCAGGAATTAGTAAAGAGGGAATCTGACTGGGGACTCAGTGGAATTAGGACCTTCCCACATTGGGTGGCTTGTGATATTTTTATTGACACACACATCATCACACATACTCACTCATCACAGAACCTTAGTAATATTAATCCCGAGATGTTTGCTTTTCTCGTGATTATACTTCCAGCATCAAAGTGGTTTTTTTCCCCAATACTTCAGTGAACATTTTTTGACACACAGATAAATACTGCTCAAAATGCTTTCCCAAGAAAACACGTAGTAGTTTCATCAAAGGCTTAAGGAAACGATCATTTAGACAGTCCTGATAGTTGGAAAGCTGCCCCATCTTTTGATAGATGATCTACTAAACGATGTTTCTCTTTGTATTTTTTTTGAGGTGATGTTTCCACTGGCTTTTTTATTTTTTTTTCCCTAACCGTCACGCCACTGTGATGGGCAGTCACCAGTTACATTCACTCTCAAGGTTAATGAGACATCAACAGGCAGATCAGATCTCTTTGCAACTGGATTGTTTCTTTCCTATTTGATTTTGATCTGTTTAGGACAGAAAACTATATTATAAAAGAAAGTTGGGACTGGAGAGAGAGGGAGGCTGGCTTTGCCTCCACGTCTAAATGGCAACTTTAAAGGACGGCAGTCTGGTCCGTGAATTGTTTTAAGAAATGGATGGTTTTCCATGTTCTAGGTGTCCGGGAAAAATCAAACCAAGTTGAATAGTGGTCAGAACTCGTTTCTAGCTGATGGCTCTCTAGTCAAATGAATTCATACAGCTTATAAAAACCCAGACTTGTGAAACTGAGGGAATTGCCTTCGATTGTACATATCCACTTTTTCTTTTTACATCCATACCTATCAAATATACTCCCCTGTATTTGGTAGGCATGGAGCCGGGGGACAGAAAAATGGACCTGGTAATGTAAAGTGTGGGAATATGCATTTATCTTTTTTGTTGTTGTTGTCTTTTTTCCATTAGAGACATTATGAAGACTTGTCCTTTACAAAAGGTGTTAGGAGTGAAAGAGTTACTGTTTCTGCCCTTACTAGTGTGATTCTGCTCCTTTGTTGCTGGCATCAAGGATAGCACTGCCAGTTGACATTGTACACAACACCAACCAGCCCCTGCCTGTTTTATGGCATGGCATTGGAAGTGAAGTGGAAGAAGCATGACCAGGATTTGAGGCGTTCACAGGCCCCACTACAAAACTGAAGGCAGGAACTTGCAGGGCTGTGTCGTTTACTCCCCATAGTGCTCTGCGGTTGTTCCTATTCAGTGAAGGAGATCTTTCTTGGGATATTAGTCCAGCTACTTTCTGATCAAAAATAGACTGCAAAGGGATGATGACAAGAAATGAAAACCCAGGTTGATTTTTTTTTTTTTTTTATGAGGGAGATCAGCCCTGAGCTAACATCCATGCCAATCCTCCTCTTTTTGCTGAGGAAGACCGGCTCTGAGCTAACATCTATTGCCAATCCTCCTCGTTTTTTTTTCTTCCCCAAAGCCCCAGTAGATAGTTATATGTCATAGTTGCACATCCTTCTAGTTGCTGTATGTGGCACGCGGCCTCAGCATGGCCGGAGAAGCGGTGCATCGGTGCAAGCCCGGATCCGAACCCGGGCCGCCAGTGGCAGAGCACGCGCACTTAACCGCTAAGCCACTGGGCCGGCCCCTGATTTTTTTTAGATATAATTGAGAGTATCACAGAAAAAAAATAATCCATGTCTGAAAGTCCAGCTGATCTGCTTTGGAGGAGCTTTCTCAAATTTTTGCAAGTGACATGATTGCCATACTCTGACTCTGCGGCATAGAATTTGACCCCAAACTATGAGAGAGGTGACTCTCCCTAGCAATGGTTTCCTCTGAAGGCTGCGGGGCAAAGATGTAATTTTGGGCAAAAGTGGGTGGGGCCTGATGGTGCTGGCAAGGGATCAAGCATTAATTTCTGAACCTCTTTAAATGAATTTTGATCTTCAAATTCTTCTTTTCCCTAGAAGATTAAATTTTAACAGAAAATTCATGATGTTTGTCTCAGAGCAAATTTCAGAGTAGTGTCTCACAAGCTTTTATAGATATGTTTCCCCTTGATCACCTACAAAGAAGTATAAGAAGGTCTTGTTGATAATTGATCTGGGCTGTGACCAAGACAATACTTAGTTTGTTCCAGATTCATCTATGTAGAGTGAAGAATCAGTTTAGCCCAATCCTTATAATAATGATATTACCTTTATAGCACTTCATAAGTTATAAACACACAGTATGCTTAAATGCAGTAGACACCTCCATAGGCAGGAAAAGTGGTGTTATCTCATTTGACAAATGGGAAAACTGCTCCTTAGAAATTAACTGATTTGTCCATGGAAAAAAGACAAGGACAGACCCACGACTGTGACCCAGGGTTTTTGACTGCCAACCAAGTGCTATTTTCACTATAATTTACCACCTCCCGTATGATAAACTACTTGAATGATTTCAAATGTACATTTTTGTTATCCAAATGAAGTATGTTTGACCAAAGTCTCATACCTATCCCATACCATTGCTCTAACAGTGGTAATTGGATCATAAGGACATTCTCTTGATGATTTTGCCCGGTGTCAATGAAAATCCACACATAGAAACTCTACATGCCTTAAATAAAGTGTAATATATTTGTAACTAGCAGTATATAAAGATAGAGAGAATATTTTACTGGGAAAATCTCTGGGTTATTAAACAAAGCTATTTCCTGTTCGAGCAGTGTTCATTGGCTGTGCTCAGGCGGATCCGGGTGGTCCAGGTAGATCCAACCCCCGTACCTCATATAATCCCTGGCACATAGTAGACCCTCAGTAAATACTTGCCCAACAGACCTGCCCTAGTTCACTCAGACATTTGTGCGATGGGTAAAGAAAATTCCGTAGAAACTACTTTGAAATGTATTTTCAAAGTGACTTTTATTTTTACAACTTTACAAGCAGTTTCTAGGCTTCTCTTTTTCTGAGATATCATTCTTCCTTCCTTGATAACCTCTGTAGTCATATCAAAACATATTTCAGTTTTGAAATTGGGTAGGGGCATTTCCTTTGCACAACATCCTCATCTTCAGAGGAACTTCATAGGATATTTTATTCTAAACCAAGCAAAGGACACATCCTCACTATGCAGACATTCTTCCACTTACTGGGGAATCTCATTTTGTTCAAATATTGAGTTTCTTTTTATTTAAATTTTTTATGTTTAAATAATACATTAAGTAGAATTAAGTTGCAAAACGAGATTAATCAAATCTAACTTGGAATTATTTAATTTAGGCTTTCCACGAAGGGCAGCATAACTGCTAGCTCAGGGTCACAAAGACCTGGTAGCTGGATCAAGAGCCCGGTTTTTCTTAGCACTTTCAATGAGTACAGGAATTCGCCATCATTCTTTCTCTACAGTCTAAGGATCAGCAAATTCTGGCCTATTTTTGATCTTAGAATGCGTTTTTACATTTTTAAAAGATTGTAAAAAAAACAAAACAAAGAAGAATATGAGGCAGAGATGGCATATGGTTCTCAAAGCCTAAAATATTTACTCTTTGATTCTTTACATAAAGAAGTTCCTATACTGTAGTGCAAAGCTCCTTTATTGGAGCAATTTCAGGAAGTTAA